ACTGAGGCTGAAGGCCGCAGCCTCTATGGGGCTAGCCATCCCTATGCTTGAGGTATTCTCACCCCACCCCAGGCCAGGTGGCAGAACCAGGTCTTCAAAACCTTACAGAAGGCCAGGAGTGTGGGGGCTAATTGCATCTCTGGGGGCAGGATGTTCCAAAGAGCAGGGGCTACTGTGGAGAAGGCCCGCCTTCTGGACCCCGCCAGTCGAAGTACTTTCAGTGAGGGGGTCCAAAGCATGCCCTGTGTGTGAGATCAGGTGGGACGGGTTGAAGTCATTTTGCAGCATTCAGCCAACTGCTCTTTTCAAATTTAGTCTTCTTTATCAGTATAAGAACAACTTAGCCCAATAAGGTTGTTGGAAGGAAATACTATTTAAAACTGCCACCCCAAATTGGTTCCCATAATACACAGAGAACCTTCCAAGGGCCTTAGGATAGACCAGATACTTCCATACAAAGGCAGAAAGGTCCACCATCAGAGGAAGAAACTTGACTTTGAATGTCTCTGCCCCATGGGTGTCTGCAGGAAGGGGGAGGTACAACATGTCAAGATGGCAGCCACAACCATGCAATCAAACCTCTGCCCTTTTGTGTGTGTGTCACGGACACCTCTCCCTGTGGACACCTCTGCTCTGCCACCTCCAATGGAAACCACAGACAACCTTCTCTCTTTAACATCAGAATTCTGATGTTCGTAGAAACAAAAGGATGTGGAGGGGGAGTGAGATCAAGAGGATTAGATTCAAAGCATTGTCAGCTTTCCAATATGTCCCTAACATGAGACAAATGTGCCTCAACTCTTGAACATAGAGTGTTGAACATAAATGAAAATTGTTCAGATAAAATAAATGAACCTATCAGGAAGGAAGGAAACCCTGTGTTTTCTATCCAGCCTCCAAGGACAAACTACTGCTATCCTATCTTGGGCCAGAGATAAGTCTACTGCATCTGGGTTGCAAAACTCAGGAAGACTACAAGAAAGCTTCAAACAGGTAGAGTCTCTGTTCTTTGCTGTCTTCTAGTGATTATCCATGTTTTCTGCAGCCTAAAGCTGGTAGTCCTAACCAGAGGAGAAAATATGATAGACAGTGCAGCCGATGCACTGCCAGTGAACAGGCTGAACATTAGGAAAGATATCCTAATGGTAAGAGCAGGTTAAGAGTGGGTTCTGTTACCTGGGGAGATGCTGGACTCCCTTTTGTTGCATTTATTCTACCTTTGATTGAATCCACTTGGATTCCTGCACATAGTGGGGGGAGGGGTAAATTTAGTTGCCCAAGTGGCTCCTTCCAAACTAAGATGCTGTGGTTTAGGGCAAAGAGGTCTCTGAGGACACCCTACAAGGCAAGCTATCTGATAGTCTTCCCCACTCCTAATCTCCCAGTACCAGGAACCATGATGGCAGATGCTGATAGTCTTGATCCGCTGGGGGGGGTGGGGGGGGGGAGAAAGGGTCCGTTCTCCCTCAGTTTCCCCCTAAAACTAAATTTGTATTTCCTCTTTGTTAACACG